CGCCGCTGCAGGATGAAGCAACTCATCGGCTCCTACTTTTATCATTAAAGAAGGCGTAAAATAGGCGTCTCACAGCGCCTGCCTTCCCAAGATTAGCATTCAGAGGGACTGGAGAGGATCAAACAGCAGATACGCCAGTGCAATTAGCCCAAATGCTAACAAAAGGGATCATGCCAGGGTGCTGGTGTGGGTGCTGAGCGCCCACCCATGCTGCTTTGCCCCACCACTGGCACCCTGTGCTAACCCTGTACCCTGTGCTGACCCTGTGCCCTGCACAGATCCAAGATTTGGCCATCCGGTGCGTGCAGAAGAACATCAAGAAGAACAAGGGGGTGAAAGACTGGCCCTGGTGGAAGCTCTTCACCACCGTGCGGCCCCTCATCGAGGTGCAGCTCACTGAGGACCAGATCCGTGGCAAAGACGTGGGTATCTCTGTGCTGGGGAATGTGGGATGGGGCAGGGAAGATTGGGAGACTCTTGGTTCCAGGCAGGCCCTGCAGTGGGGTGGGATGCAGGACCCCATGGTGGGGTCAGATGTAGTAGTCCACAGTGGTGTGGGATGCAGGATGCTGTGGTGGGTTGGGATGCAGCATCCTGCAGTGGGGTGGGATGAAGAATCCCACAGTGAGGTAGGATGCAGGATCCTGTGGTGGATTAGAATACAGGATCCCATGGTGGGGTGGGATGCAGGAGCCCATGATGGGGTGAGATGCAGGACCGTGTCTGCCCAGGTACCCGTCAGTGCCAGGCTCGAATTGCTCCCTAATTTGCGAATCAGCATGTCATTAGCATCCCGAGAGCCGGCTGTTGCATGAGCCCAATTACAAGCGTGGAGAATGGAAATGAAACCGTGTGCCGAGAGGCATATGCGGGGGCTCCGCTCACGCTGGCAACCAGAGCTCACCCGGCACGGAGCCACTGCCTGGCTCAGCTTTCATCCCGACCTGCCGAGGACAGGCGCCTGGGTGGGGGCACCTGGGCCCCCTCCTGCCCCCCCAGCCTGTGCTGGGACCAAAGGAGGGGAGAGGAAGATGTGCTTGAAGCTGGCAGCTGGACACGCCCCCCCAGTGCTGGCTGGTGGTCCCCAGGCATGCTGGTGGGCCCCCTCCCTCCCCACCTGGGCTGGATGCATCCAAACCCTTCAGTGAGCTGTTGATGAGTGGGTTTGCTCCCACCCCCTCTGCCAGGGGATGTGGGGACCCCTCTCCAACTTTTTTGGGACTGCCTGGTGTTTCGGCACCATTTATGGGGTTGGAGTCGGCACGGCAGCAGAGTGGGTTGAGGAAAGTCCCTGCCCAGCCCTTGGCAGGGGAGAGCAGCCCCAGGGAGCTCCCACCCTGCCCATCCTGCACGGGGGTGGTGCTGAGGGGGTGCAGAGAGCTGCCAGGCTCCTACCCGCCAACCTCTTCCCTGCGCATGCCCCCTCCCTCACCGCCTGCTCTGTTGCAGGAAGAGATC